ATGAATAAGTTAAATATCATTTTGCCACCTCAGCTAATGACAACAGTAGCAGCTTTCCAGAATTTGGGCCTAGTTTGCACCAGTTGCCAACATCACAGCTGCCAAAATTACAACAGAGACTTTAGACCAGCTCTTCTACCCTCTCACTCTTCTCCACAGGAGGGCTAGGCTTCACCCCAGGGATCAGTCCATCCGCAGCCTTCATTTCCGCTTCTTCTCCTGTGTGCTGGTGAACCAAGAGTCTAGGAGCTTCTTGCTGTAGTGTAACTGCCAGGCATGCACTTGAACCGCCAGCACCAACACCAGGTACATGACGGAGACGGCAGAAAACCCAAAGAGGAAGCGGTAGGCCTTGCCGTGGCGATAGAGCTGCTGTGCGGCAGGGAACATCTCCATGCTGCCGTAAATGAGGGGGGCGATGGAAAAGAGCCCCATGCTGATCATGGAGAGCACCAGGTAGCTAATGTTGTTGCGGGGGAAGGAGAGGAGACCCAAGAGGGAGGGCACAATGCTCAGCAAATATGGGTACTCCCACTGATAGGGCATGGCCACCTGATCATGTGACAAGAGCCTCAGGTGTCCCACACTCATCTTGGCAACCAGCAGCAGCCACAGGACCAGATGCACGTAGATCAGCTTCTTGATTTCATACTTGAGGGTCACACTGTGGGGCAGAGCAGAGGGAGAAGTTCCTTTCATTCAAAATTTTCTGACCAACTATATGCCGGGAAGGAAAATTGGACAATAGCATCTGAATGTGAATAGGATCTAGTTCCTGCCTAGAGGCTAGGCACCAGGAACAGAAGAAAAATTAGTAGCAAACGAACTGGAAGAGCTCTAGTAAATATATGTTGCAAGATACATGGGATCCCAAAAAGCAGTAATCAATTCTGCGTGGGAAAGGACATCTGAGAAGGCCATTTAGAGGGTGATATTTGAGCTGCGCTCTGAGGGATGAAAGGAGATGGGCGTTCCAAATTGCACGCAGGCAGAAAAACACAGGCATTTGTGTTCCAAGAAAGCCAGTGGTTGGGTATGGCAGGAATACATCCTCGGTGGGGAGGGGAGTAGCAGGATATGAAAGGCAATGTCTATGAACAGTCGGTTTAAAGGCAGAAGAGTAACTGGGCTGTGTTTAGAAAGATGACTGACTGCACCCTGGGAGGATAGCTCAGAGGAAGGAGGTATGGGCAGTGAGGAAAGCAGCTCCGGCTGCTCATCCTTCTCCTGCTAGAGTAGAAGGTTTCATTGAACGAAGTACACTGTTTATTATTCTTCTAACTCTCTCAGGTCCTAAATGTATCTTCTTTGCATCCTGGAGGACAGTCTCTTCTCACATGGGCGTCAAAATACTTGCTTGGGCTGGGAGGTGCCCTTAGGCAGGGATCTTAAGAATAAGAACCACCGAGACCTGTTTGGCTCAGTGGGTAGAGCGTTGGCCTGCGGACTGAAGGGTCCTGGGTTCGATTCCGGTCAAGGGCATGTACCTGGGTTGCGGGCACTTCCCCAGTGGGGGATGTGCAGGAGGCAGCTGGTCGATGTTTCTAACTCTCTATCTCTCTCCCTTCCTCTCTGTAAAAAAATCAATAAAATATATATTTAAAAAAAGAATAAGAATGGAGTGAGGGTCCAACAGCTGGTCGTTATTTAAAACTCCGGAGAGGAAGATGCAAAAGCATTCTGGAAGCGTTAAATGGATTTAAGGGGGGGAAATCTTTTTAAGTTTTTTCTTTTAAAAATATTCATTATAGAAAGTGTGACAAGGTAGGAAAGTCAGTCATCTCTCGACTGCAAGATTCATGAAGACAGGAACCAGGTTTTTTTGTTTGTTTTGTTAATAGGCTTTTTTATTGAAGGTGTAATATGCATACAAAGACCAGGTCTGCTTTTGCTCACTGTATCTTCAGTGCCTAGCATAAAATGCCTACTGGGTAGGAGCTCAGTAAACGCTGAAGGGGTAATGTAGAAATACCCCTTACGTGGGGGTGTTTATGAAATTCATTTTAGGCAGGGAAAGACTGGTCTTTCCGGTCTACATCCCCCAAATGCATCAGCTACCAGGTATTGGGCAGACTTGATTCTGAGCTAGAACTTAGGCTACGTCCTTTACACGAATCATTAGCTCACTAATTCTTCACCCAGCCCTTAAAGGTCGATTCCTTTTTCCCTCTTGCAAGTGAGGAAACTGAGGCTCAACTGGAAATGAGGTTCCCAAGATCACACAGCGGGGCCGGCATCACCACCCCTGGCGCCCAAGGGGGTCTGCACCCTCTCAAGGCACCGGGTGGACCAAGGGATGAACCCATGGGAGCGACTGGGCTTTCCAGGGCTGAGGACAGACCCCGGGCCGTCCCGGGACGGGGGGACTTGGCAGGTGAGCGGGGACTGGCTGGGGAGGAGGAGCCCGAGGCCGGGGGCGTCGCTTCCCAGGCCCGGCGGGCTCCGGCCG